AAAATATGGGCAGACTGGAGCACCCCCCTCCACATACATACACACACACATATACACACACACATATATATTGAGGTATCTGTTGTTAAAGACTACGGAACCATTCCATTTAATAATCTTTTTTCTGTTTTTTCTTGCTTTCACAAGTTTTTAATATTTGGGTCTAAATTGTTGAAAAAAACCCAAAAAACCCCAAAAAACAAACCCAGTCCTTGGTGTTTGGCCGAGCACTTTCGATTGTTGTCAACCGTCATCATGGCTGTACGTTTAAGTTTGAAAAAGGTTGCTTATTATTTTAGTTTTATAGATAATATTTTGAGTATTTAGACAATTTGTTCATTATTAATAAGGAGGGAATTGTTTTTATCATTTGAAGGATTAGTTATTAAATATGTTTAAGATGTTTTTTGCCAGTATTGAATGCTATTTTATTTAAGTTGGGTCTTTAGTTTTTAATTATGATGGCTTCAAGAATTTGTAACCATTTTTTGCATTTGTTTTTGTAGAGGATTTTAGTATTGTTGATTAGAACTTTTCTTATTTCTGAGGCTTTCCTAAATAAGGACATGCTGCCAACATATGTATATATGTGTATGTGTTTGTGTGTGCCTGTGTTTAGAAGAAAGAGTCCACGTGTGCTTCTTGTATTATATAAAATAGATAGGTTGGTTAATAAAACAAGGGAAAACGAAAGGGTAACAATGTGATCAGTGCGAAAAAAACATTTATTATATATTAATTGTTAACCGCAAGAAAGAAATAAAGCATGGAGATTAATATTATTACTTCGGAATTTTCGGGCACGCCTGTGTCCTTTATCAGCGGCGCGAGAAATAAACAGAGAAACGGGGAAGACTACCCAACGGTGGTTCTTGTCGCTCGGGTAAATTCGTTGTGGATGGTATTATTTTTAAAATACGATTCTTGCTTGACTCCTCGTTTACTAAAAACATTAAGCTCTGTGCTTCATTTCTTTTGGTTAATAATTAATATATAATAATAATAATATAATTTCTATATATATTATATGTGCGTAGTACTTATTGGAAAGCGCTCAATATCAGTGATAGAGCTAACATATTCAGTCGTATGGATATGAGGTTGCAACCCTGGGTTTCATACTTTTGCGATCATCAAAGTTTATCTGTTGATCGCAAAAGCGTGAAACCCCGGGTTACAAACTCATATCCATACGACTGAATATATATATATATATATATATATATATATATATATATATTATAATTTTATCATATAGACAAAACCATTTTACTCACTACAAAGATGCAACTTGGTTTCAGTGCATTTAAACTGCACCCGTCGAAGTGCAGTTGATATATATATGGACGCACGGTGGAGTAAGGAGGCACGGTGTAGTAATAGATAGCGGCTTAAATTGAGGAATCGCAGAGCCGAGTTCGAATTCCAGTCGAATCCATTACATTGAATTACGCGCTGATACCCTTGGGAAAGGTATGAATCCTCTTCCTCTCCCTCCAGCTATGGGTAAAATAGCAGGACAGACTGGGTTCTATAGCCTTGGATGGCAACTGGTCTAAGAGAAGGACAACTCTGAATTCAAAACCTGCGGAGGGTCGTTTGGGAACCTTGTGGCATTCGGTGCACCAGGTCTCTGTATTCGTCCCTTCAAAAAGTGTGGATGGTCCTGCACGAGGCCTTCACCACTATAATCAAATCTCATGCGCAGGTGTCGGGCAGTCGGTTTCCTGGAAAACTGATCTGCTTCATCCTCATACGTCGAATTCGACGGGAGAGTCGACTATATATATATATATATATATATATATATATATATATATGTGTGTGTGTGTGTGTGTGTGTGTTTGTGTGTGTGTGTGTGTTTCTGTGTGTTGAGGAGAGTGAATAACGTCCGTTTTTATGTTAATCGAATTGAAAATCAAAGGAAAATGAAATAAAAACAAAACTAAAATATCAGATATTACAGCACTTTATGAAAAACTTGCTGACCACTCAAATGAAATAAGTTTTCTCACTTTGCATGCAAATTTTGGAAGGCATCAACACAGGTAGGAAGATAATATTTTATCTACAAAGAACAAGTACCACACTTTGTGGTCAACAGTTTCTTGTTGCAAAGTCCACCTAATCATCAAGACAAATATTGGTTTCATCTTTTTTTTTGTCTTTATTTTGTTTGTTTTTCAGTTTGTTGGACGTCATTTGTAGAATTCGTTGATATTTCGCGCGACATTCTACATATTTGGTCTTTTTGTGGATTCAAATAATATGAAAAAAATACAGTCCGTTTACGTCATCTTGATATGATCTGAGAGCAGGCATTTTCTCGATTAATGTAGAAAGAATGAAATGAAAAAAACTGATGATTTTAGTTAATTAGAATAAATTCAAATTTTTTAAAGACGTGTCGTCTGTTAATTTCTTTTCTTATCATTGGCGAATTTTAACTATAGCGAGGAAATCATTAATTTAGCGTGAATCACATGAAACAATAGCGATGACGATACTAGTCATTGACTTCTCTCTGTCATAACTACTTCATCTTTCAACAAACGGAATTTATTTCCAAGATGGTAGATTTAGTGACATAAAAAGGCATACTTCTTTTTACAGCTGTTTTTTTTTTTTTTTTCTCTGCCGTTAGATATTTTTAACTCAACCAAATGAATGCAGAATTCCGAGTCGTAAACTCTCCCAGGGAGAAAACAAATTGAGATTTTATTGCCTCGATAAAATAAAATTCTTTTATCGTTGAAAAGACAGAGAATAGCGGCAAACAATTTAATGAAACAAATTTTCGTTTGTTCTATGTAAGTTCACGAACGTTTCACACTCTGATTCCAGTTTACTTGAAGGATTCTGAATGGTTGGATTTGATGAGATAATCCCTTTATCGAATCTTGATTATTACCAGTAAATGAAATTTACGCTGGAAGGGAAGACTTAATTCTATCAATATTTAAAGAACATTAAAAGTTTATACTCGTAATCTCTAGTTCTTAACTGCATTGCATGGATGTGTATTTTTTACTTTGAGACCACTTTATAAAGGAGGGGGAACGGTGGAGTAATGGATAGCGGCTCGCATTGAGAAATCGGAGAGCTGAGTTTGAATTCCAGTCTAATCCATTACATTCCCTTACATGCTAATACTCCCCCCCCCCCAACTACGGATAAATAGCAGGACAGACCGGTTTCTGTAGCCTTGGATGGCAACTGGTCTACCGCAGAAAGAAATGGCAAACTACTGCGGGAAAAATACCTGCCTCGTCATTCAGGTATCGAAAGATACATGATCGCCTAAGCGTGTATCACGCATGGCACATAAGTGACTGATCATTTCGTACTCTCCAACATTGTATTTCTTTCTTTCTTTTTTTTTAAATCAATTTCAGTCATTTTTGTTTCTTTTCAAGAACATCGAACTTGTTTTGATCGATTCACGTCGTTTATGTCTCTGATAAATAAATAAGTAATAATGATAATAATAATAATAATAATAATAATAATAATAAGAAGAAGAAGAAGAAGAAGAAGTGACGCTATGATCTTAAACCAGGCACAGCTCTCTTGGCTTCTGATCTTAATTGATCGGAGGTATTAACAGGTGTAAAGGGTTTGTCTTTGTAAATTAAGGTGGGCAACTGTAAATATCCCGTTCAGTACCACAGATCTGCTTGTCAGCTGTCAGACGCTAATCAATTGGGCATCTGCCCTAGAAACATGTATTCTCCTTCTTCTTTAATGAGCGAGGGACAGAAAAATTCCATTTAATTTCGTTGCCTCTGAATTTGGGGACAATATTTCATGGGCTATATTCGATAAATAAGAGACCATGGTTCTCTCAATCGATTTAGGTATTATATTAATGTACATTTTACTACACCACCGAGGTCAGGGCGTTAAGTTCCATGCATGGATTTTCCGTTTGGTAACCGCGTTTCAATAATGTCAAAATGACAGCCAACTAAATCTGCATAAATTCTCGCATGACTTCATTAAAAAAAGAAAGAAAAAAAAGAATGAAATTGTGTAACGTTTTCATTTATTGTTCAAACGATATGCATGATTATTTGAATCAACGAGAACGGAAGTACTTCTAGGATCGAGAAAAAGAATGAAAGCGGAAAGGAATAAATTCGTCTCTACCCTTCATCCACTAATGGTAAAATAGCCTTGTTTGTCAACCAGTCTAATGGAAGGACAATTCTGCATTCAAAATAAGTTGTGGCATCCATTCACCCACCCCAAGCGACGGACAAAATAAAAAAAAAAAAAAGATGGGGTGGAATCTATAATCCCACTCTGTAAATATCGACTTGAACTTAAACCGACACACAAGCTGATGAACCAATCAAAGCAAAGATCCAGGATCCAAGATCCAAGATCCAGGAAATAGCATCTCGTGGCATAAATAATACTTTCTTTCTATAAAAGACTTGACTTTGCCATTAGCCGCCTGCTGCAGAGCAAGCTAGTTTCACTAATATTGTGAGGATGATCCTCACTAGGTGCCCCACTATAGAGATATTATCTCTGCAAAATGTTTGTCATCGGGTGATATTTATCGACTTAGATTCGCAAAAACCATTAATCGTGTTGTGAATTAAATTTCCCGTGAATCCTGTGACTGGGTACCTTACGAAGATTAGCTGAGAAATTACCTACTCCATTTTATCCATATGATGTTTAAATTTAAAATATTTTTCACTTGATTTTCACTTTTATACAAAAATACACAAAAATATGATAAAAATATCTGCGCAAAATTCTGTTATGTTTTGATCGAGAAAATCCGCCCATGAGAAAATTCCTTATCAAAGGATTTTTATTTGTTTCCTTTGTTTTTTGTGTTTGTGTTTGTTTGTTTTAATTTATAAACATTTTAATTGATTGGACGGAATTTTACGAATTGTAAAAACACTTTTTGATAGCATTTCGTATTAATTATCTGACATCATTATCAATGTTGTGAATGACAATGAAAATAATGTTTGTCTTTATAATGGTCGTTCCGAAGTGTTGAGGTTGTTCAGCATGGAAGCCGGTCCATTGGGACTAATACTCTCAACAATCAGTGAAAGGCAATCCAAACTTGAAACGCCCGATGACATTTGTTCATAACCTGAAAAATAAAAGGAAAGACGTGTATTCACAATACAGAAATCAATAATAAATTGTATACAATACATTGTATTCCAAAATAGATAGATATATATGAAGAGACTGAGATAGATAGATAGATACGAGCAGACTGAGGTAGATATGATCAAACTGACATAGATAGATAGATAGATAGATAGATAGATAATGAACAGACTGAGAAGATAGATAGATACGAGCAGACTGAGGTAGATATGATCAAACTGACATAGATAGATAGATAGATAGATAGATAGATAGATAGATAGATAGATAGATAGATAGATAGATAGATAATGAACAGACTGAGAGAGATGATACGAGCAGACTGAGGTAGATATGATCAAACTGACATAGATAGATAGATAGATTATAAACGGACTGGGATAGATAGATACCTATGAGTAGACTGATATAGATATGAGCAAACTGAGATAGACAGACATGTAAACACAGATAGATAGATACGGGCAGACTGAGATATCTGCAAACGGATATAGATAGATAGATAGATAGATAGATAGATAGATAGATAGATAGATAGATAGATAGATAGATAGATAGATAATGAGCAGAAAGAGATAGATAGATAGATAGATAGATAGATAGATGGATGGATGGGTATATAAATAGAGAGATATCAAATTCAAATGAACAGTTAGATGGATAGGAAAGTAAGCAGACGCGTCGATAGTCCGCTCTCTATGAACATATTCATAGAAATAAATCTTGTAACTCTTATCAAAACTGAATCGGAAAAAATGTGTTCGAAATAGGGATACGAATGACAATTTTTGCTTTCATGATATTCAAGAAAATGCAATCTTATTTTATTTTTAATCATTTGGCGCCTTTAATTAAATTGGAATTATTCTTGAATTGATCATTTCAGTGTCTAACAGTTGTGCAAAGAATTCATTTCATCAGTCACTAAATTCCCTGATATTGAAATTGTATATAATTATTCTTGAATTGATCATTTCAGTGTCTAACAGTTGTGCAAAGAATTCATTTCATCAGTCACTAAATTCCCTGATATTGAAATTGTATATAATTATTCTTGAATTGATCATTTCAGTGTCTAACAGTTGTGCAAAGAATTCATTTCATCAGTCACTAAATTCCATGATATTGAAATTGTATATAATTATTCTTGTTATTTCTTTGTGGTTAGAAATGGTTTTTCCTTTTCCCGCCTTTATCTGGAGCCTGTCTACCATATGCGTATAGAATGGTTTACATATTCTGTTGTTCTTCCGAAAACAAAAATGGAATGATAATAAAATGGTTTGAAAAACAAGAAACTTCCAAGATCAAGAAAGGAAAATTTTTAGCGGAGAAATTCGCGCTTTTTCTACGAATGCCAAAGATTGACATTGTAACTGATGGAGAAGCCAAGATTAAATGATTACAAAAATGATTACTGGACTAGTATGTAGTAAGAGTTAATGCCATATGCGGCAGTTCAATTTCGTCACAAAAAAAAGAAAAGAAAAAAGATGTCGTTCTGCTGAAAATAGTGAGAATATCGTGGACAGGGTAAGTGAGAAATTAGGAGGTTTTAATATGAAGAGAAATTCAAAAAAAAAAAAAAAAGAAAAGAAAAAAAAGAACAGTTAGGAAGATACAGATGAACATTTTAACTCCTTAGCCAATTATGTGTTATGCGTGATACACACTTAGGCGATCATGTATCTTTCGATACATGAATGACGAGGCAGATTTTTTTTCCTAGGTAGTAGGTTGCCATTTATTTCTGCGGTAGACCAATTGCTATCCAAGGCTATAGAAGCAGGTCTGTCCTGCTATTTACCCATAGCAGGGAGATAAGAAGAGGATTCATACCTTTCCCAAGGGTATTAGTACGCAAGTTAATGTAATGGATTCGACTGGAATTCGAACTCGGCACTCCGATTCCTCAATCCGAGATAGAAGCCAAAAAATGCAAAGGGAAATCTTGGCAATAAATTTGAATAAATAGTAGGCAGAACAAGTGGCAATGTAATAGAGAAGTTGTGGAGAGCCATAATCGCCTACGCTCTCTTCAGTTGGATGATTGGAGCAAGTCTTTTACTGCGATTTTCCATGTTTTGGCATTTTAGTAAAGGATTAGATTTGAAAGTAACTATGGATCTCGCTTGGAGTTAACTTGGAGTTGTGTATTTTTATACTGGCCTCAGAGGTCAGTGTTCGAGTCCGGTTGAAAATAAAAGTTTGCGAATGATGATTTTCAATTAGTGACTCCCCAATTTCGAATAATGGCTCAACATTATCTTAATGTGTGATTGTACTCGCTATTAACAACAAAATAATTTTTAAGAAATAATTCTGTTTCAGTGATTTAGATATTTTCTTTCCTTCTTTCTTCCTTTCTTTCGTTCTTTCTTTCTTTTTTTATCTTTCTTTCAACATTTCTTTCAGCCTTTCTTTCTATATTTTTCTTTTTCTTTCTTTTTTCTTTCTTTCTATATTACTTTCTTTCTATATTTCTATATTTCTTTCTTTCTTTCTTTCTTTCTGCATTTATTTCAGCATTTCTTTCTTTCTTTTTTTCGTTCTTTCAGCATTTTTTCTTTCTTTCTTTCTTTTTTCTTTCTTTCTTTCTTTCTTTCTTTCTTTCAGTATTTCTTAATGTTATTTTCCTTCTCCTACCTTTCTTCTTTCCCGTCCAACTTATATTTATTATATTCATTTATTATACCTCCCACATTAAATTCAGAAACCATTTTATTTCCTTACCACTTCCTCTCCATCTTCTTTTTCTCTCTCCGATATTTCCCACTCTCTTTTCATTTCATATTTTGTTCTCCATCTATCTTTTCCTTTCTTTTATCAATCTCTCTGCTTACAATTCTCTCTTTCCATTGTTCTACTACTTCCTGTTTTATGTCATTTTAACCTTCATTTCCTCTTCATTATCTTTACAATTCTTCTTCTTCTTCTTTTTCTTCTTCTTCTTCTTCTTCTTCTTCTTCTTCTTCTTTCTTTCTTTCTTTCAATTTCTTTATTTCTTCTTTTTTTTTTATCTCAACGACAAAATAAATACATCTTTTCTGATAAACTTGTCACACCGCACCAAAAAGAAAAAGAAAAAAAAAACGCGATTGGGTGTCTGATCTACAAAATGGCAAAAAGGCTCTGTTTCAGTGAGTGAGGGAGCATACGTGATAGATAGATAGATAGATAGATAGATATGAAAAGACTGGGATAGATAGATAGATAGATAGATAGATAGATAGATAGATAGATAGATAGATAGATAGATAGATATGGGGAGAGGTGATAGACTGAGTAGTGTCATGTAATATCGCAAAAGCAGTTCAGTGAGAAAAAAGCTGGATTACCAGAAAGATATTTCGAGTTGAAAAAAGAAAGAATGAGAGAGAAATAGAGAGAGAGAAAGATAGAGAGATAGAGAGATAGAGAGATAGAAAGAGAGAGAGAGAGAGTGTGTGTGTGTAACGAGAGAAGGGGAGAGAATAAAATGCAGAGAGCAAGTGAGAGAGAGTGTGGTAGTGGGTAAAGTCACGTGGTCTGGGGAGTAATCCGGATACGTATGGTATAGTCATCTGCCTAACCTCATTCCACCCGCCAATACTGTCGCCCACCCGTCGCCCACCCGTCGGGTTGTCTCTTCTTCACATTGAAATCGTCTATATTATTATTTCGTGTATTTTAGGGAGCTGTATCTTTTGGGACTAACGATGCCACCGGTGGGGTGTAGGGGCTAGAGAAGGGACGGCAGACTTTAGGGTTAAACGTTGACAGGGTCTGAAATGAAGAGATAAAAGGGAAGAGGGAGGTAGAGAGAGAGAGAGAGAGAGAGAGAGAGAGAGCTGGAAAGAGAGAGAGGGGGTAGAGAGAGAGAGGGGGGATGGAGAGAAAGTGATAGTTGGAGAAAGAGAAAATGCGTGTGAGGGAGAGAGAGAATAAAAGAGAGATACAGAAGGGAGAGAGATAGAGAGAGGTAGAGAGAGGAGTGAGAGGGAGGAGAGAGATAGGTGGATAGAGGGCGGAGAGATAAGGCGAGAGAATAACAGAACGAATCACAAATCAGCATCTTCTTTTCTTTCATTCTTACTTTAACTAACTTCTGAGTAAATTGGTACTCATTCGGTGTTTCCAAAATTAGTAACCGGTCGCTTACACTGAAGATCAAGTGATAGCAAGACTTGTCTAGCATTTTCGTTATTGATACTTGTTTTACTTATTACTATTAACTGTAAGAAGGCAGCAATATAGACAGCATAAAATAGTGTTTATCAACCTTTCTTACTTAAGGGTGCATTTGTAAAACAACTCGAAGTCTAGGGCTCATTTTAAATTTTAATAAGGAAAAATTAGACGTGAAATTTGGAAATATTTATGAAGAATCTGCTATTTCTTTTAGAGAGGCTGATAATGACTGATTTAAATCTCTTGAGGAAGGCAAAAGGGAAAGGATTATCCACTCCTTAAAGATTAAGGACTTAGCATCCAGTTTAAAATATCAAAGGATAAAGACATGACTTAGATATGGAAGCCGTATGCTTGATGTTTCTGGCTTTTTAGAAACTGTTAACGGGGGGGGCAATTTCAAAGGCGCATTAGTGCACACGGGTGTACCAGTTGAGAAACGCTGGGTAAAGTGTGAGCTATGAAGTGGAGACATCACAAGCAAGCAAGTTATGGGATGAGGAGATATCATTATTTACATTCGGACTATTATCCTTATCTTTATTGTTGTTACCCCAACATTCCGAACGTTGTGTCCACCGGTCTTCGTCAGATAACATTCGCTTAAAAATATATATATATATATATATATATATATATATATATATATAATAGTGTCGAACTGCTATATATAATATCTATCCTCTTATATGACAGTAAATGATGGAACGTTTACTGTTCGATGAACGAGAGAGAGAGAGAGAGAGAGAGAGAGAGTTGAAAATTCTACTGAAATATGTTGAAAATGCCACAGACTGAACATGTGAGCCACGAGAAAGTATTCAGGAAATGAAAATGGAAAGGATATTCATAGATACAATCAGAAAGAAACAATTGATATTTCTGGGACACTTAGCGAGAAAAGAGGGCTTGGAGAATTTAAGACTCATACACTCAAGAAATATTGAAGGAAAGTGGAGCAGCGAGACACAACGAGTCTCCTACCAAAGGAGTTTCTATAAATCGGTGGGTAACGCTGTGACTGGGACGGGTGGTTAAAGTAGGAAACGTTGCATAGAGCTACAAACGAATCGAACCTGTGGGGGGCTATGACCGTGCACGTTCTGAAGCGATTCGGGACATAAAAGAAGTTTTTTTTTTCACTCAAGAATAAAGGATAAATATTCACTTGTTAATATATTGGCATCCAGTTTACTCATCACATAGGTACGTGACCGAGTGATTAGAACGTTCGTATTCTGACCATGAGACCCGGGTTCGAATCTCAGCATAGTCAATTTGAAGGAGACTTCCTTATGTTATCGGACTAGAGAGGTCGACCCCAGCGTTCGGCACCTTTGAAAAGTGAAAACTATCCCACGGATTGACCCATGTCTTGTGAGTGAAATTGGGTAGAGGGAACCGTTGGGGTCTGTCGATAGCTGTGCTAGCACGAAGTCACAAGTCATCGTGTCCGAGGGCTTGAGCGTGCTGCCCTTGTTCAGATTGTTGATCAGGCTAGATAACACGCGTTTTTTCCCCCAGAAACTCAGCGTAGTTTCAGTATAAACCACAGGTGGGCTCTATGGATGTTGAATAAACACAAATACGCCTGAGCAAGCGTCTGCAATAAGGATTGGCTAGCCATCCTAACAGATGGGTATCCTCGAATACAAGTAACCAGCTATACTCATCACAGAAATGAAATAAATAAATTAGTCCAAATCTTTTACCATTCCAGAACTATCTTCAGTTTTGGTGTAAAAATGCAATTAGGATTGTTTTTGATTAAATATTTGCTAGAAATATTTTGGATTGCTCTGCTATACTGTTTTCTACTAATAAAATATAGCCTTGTATAATTGAGCGAAAATTGAAAGGATCAAATGAAAAATATAAAATAACTAGATCGAATGGTAAAGATAAAATGAAAAGATCAAATCGAAAAAGATCAAATAAAAAGATAAAATCAAATAGATAAAATGAAAAGATCAAATCGAAAAGATCAAATCGAAAAGATCAAATGAAAAATATAACAAGATCTAATCGTAAAGATCAAATGAAAGGATCAAATCGAAAAATCATATCAATAGGATGATTCGCGTGTTATTTTGTTATTTGATATTTTTCATTCGAGCTTTTCATTTGATCTTTTCGATTTGATCTTTTCGATTTGATCTTTTCGTCTGAATTTTTGGGATTCCTAAATATGGACCGAGGAATGAAAATAATCTACACCTGAAGATGTGTTCAATTCGAATATCCTAAAGTTAACACGGGTCAATAGATACCCGACGAAGGTCGGAATGTATAACGACCAAAAGGTTATGATAACAAAAATGTGAACATTTAGTCCGACTGTAAATAGTTTCAATATTGATCTTTTTTTTTATCTGAATCATCTCAGGCTGATTAACAAGAAACAAACAAAAAGCAACTGATTTTTTTCTTTACTTTCAAAATATATATGGCTTTTGCGCTGAAAAGTTTGGACACTGCTTGCTTTGATATCTAAATAAAATCACTTCTTTGAATATTCTTCTTCTATGTGCAGTGTCCCTTCAGGACGTGGGCGATCATGGTTCTCCACATTTTCCTGTTCTTTGTAGCTCTTAATATATTTTGTCTTTTTGTTCTCTCTCCTATACTTTTTCCGCTATCCATTTACGCAAGTTTGCTTGTGCGTTATATTTCCTCTGTCCCTTTTGCCTTCAATCCGTCCTCTGAGTATCAAATTTTCCAAGTCCTCTTTCCTCCTTATGTACCCCAGAAAGTTCAACTGCCTCTTCTTGATGTTAAGTATAATTGTCCTTTTGTTCCGATTTTCTCTAAAACTTAGTCGTTGCTCACATGTTAGGTTCAGAGTATTCTCATCATCCTTCTGTAGGACAGCATTTCTATTGCTTCACGTCTATTTCTTATCAGTGAAGAGATTTCCAGTATTCACTGCCCTCAGAGACTGATATTACATAACAGTTCAGTGTTCATTTTTTGTTTATAACTATTTTTTTTCTGTTCTTTTTTTTTTGCTTAACTTTGGAAGATATTTTGCTATCCCAATGTGTCTTCACATTTCAGTGTAGCATTTCCCATCCCCTGTTAAAACACTTTGCAGATATTTAAATTGTTGCATTTTTTTGATTTTAACATCTCCAATTTATAATTTCTGTATTGTGCAGTTCCTTTTCCTGACAACCATACATTCTGTCTTCTTGTAATTGATGCTTAGTCCTTTCTTCCTGCTTTTCTTCACTTCCTTCGTAGGAGTTCTTGTAATTTTTTTCTGGGTCTACTATCAACACTATGTCATTTGCATATCTTACGTTGTGAAGGTTATGACCATCAATAATGAATCTCTTGGGACTTTTAATTCTCTCAGAATCGCCACAATGTATAAGTTGAATAAGTCCGGTGAGAAGACCCATCCTTGTCTTACACCTCCTCCTATTTTTGCATATTTACTGAATTCATTTTCTGTCCGTATGCAGGCTGTTTACTGCCAATATAGTTTTATTCTGATATCCTTCCCAAATATAAAAACAACATGTCCAGCAGTAGTAGAGGTTTATTTCTACGTTTCTGTTTCAGGTCTCCGGTTCCTTCAACTCCGTACTTCTGTCGTCTCCACTAGAAATCTGAAATTTTATCCAGTAATTATTACTATTTTTTTCCTTTCTCAATAGGAGTAGATACGTTCACTCTCCTCCCCGGCTTTTTGAACAGGGGGAGAGGTTTATTCCTTGTTTCCTGTTTAGGATTTGGTTTCCGGTTCCTTCTAAAAGTCTATTTCAGCTTTATACTTCTAACTATTCTTCCATTCACTAATAAAATCTTAAGCTCTTCAACAGTTAGCTGTTATCTACATAGACCCAATAATTCCACTTCTTGCTCTTTATTACACTAATATAACTTCACACAATAATCCTCTACCTTGGGTGGCCCTTGTCCCTTAGGCCTTGTATTAGGGGAACATTACTAAACAAAAAATATGTCAAGCAGTCCCGAATGTTCTTTGTGGTGTACTTTGTCAAACGATTTTTTTCATTTGTCATGCCTATGCATATGGCAGTTTGGAGATTCAAAATGAAATCTTATTTAAAAAATGCTTAGAACTACAAGGTAAAGTTAAGACAAGTATTGTTTTTTTATAATCGTAATGGATATGCTTCGTTGAATCAAAATACGTCGTGTCAATGAAAACTTTTTTCGACATTCTAATGATGGTGAAAAAGTAAGATAAATTATGGCAGTTATCTTTCCAAATTGATTCTATAAGTGCCACAATCGCGACTCTTGTCAATGCTCTTTGCAAACGGTACTCCCTTCGGGAGTCTGGCTATCAAAAGACGGAGTATCAAGTTCATGCCTATTTTTCGTTTTCATTTTTTCCTGATTATATTAGAAGCGTTGCGTTGTCTATTACATGTGCGACTCTCCTTTTTTTGCCGCAAATCTTTTCTGCTTACTCTCTTCTTTCTCTTCGCTGTTTACCTATCGTTCACAAGGCTTCCTCGATTTGTATTTTCTTAACCAAATCTGACATTGTTGTGTAAATAACGTCTCGCATATCAAAATTCAAGTATTATAGAATAAGGTCATTAAGTTATCACTGCCTTGTTTTTCCCCCAGACCCTCGTGTGCCTGCGCCTCTATCATTGGCTTATGCTTGACTCATTTCCTTGACGTTTCCGCCATCAATCAGTTTCAATGGCACAAATAAAGGTACATTTATTTCGTCTTTTTCAAAGAACCCAGCTCCTCAGCCAAGCACAAATATTTTCTTCTCGTTATCATTATCATCATTTTTATTAGATTTTTTTGTTTCTTTTATTTTTATTTTCACATTTGAGATTTGATTTGGTGACCTTTTCGATTTTAATCTTTTTTTGTTTTTTTTTGTTTTTATTATCATTCTTCTCTTTTACTTCTTTTTTCTTTTTATTTCCTTCATTGTTATTTATAATTTTTTGTTATTCACAGTTCCTTCTTGCTTTCTTTTCGTATATTTAATCACTTCCATTTCTAAATGTCACTTTAGCTGAAGCGCTTAGGATCTACCATATTTGTTTTTATTTTGATCCGATTATTATTATTATTATTATTATTATTATTGTTATATTTATTTTGATTTCTGTTGTATACTCACTTCTTTCTGGGTCCCAACCAGAGACCTAAAGTCACAAATGGCATCATGACCTTTTCCACTGAGCATTTTTTGAGGAAAAAAAAGCTCTTCGTAAGATGTGGGCTGTACTTGTGAATACAATTTGTATTATTATTATTATTATTATTATTATTATTATTATCGATGTGCTTATTTACAAAGCTTAATATAACCTGGCACAAGATCACAAGGTATTGAGCACGTAGTGTAGATAGAAGTTCCCGGTAAGATGACTTAATCATTATTAATGTTGTCATCACTATATTTATAGTAATTATGGTATTCCTTTACAGTTCTTTCTTTCTTTCTTTTTTTCCCACCCGCAACTGTTTAGCCCTTAAGCATCTACCGCCCCCCTCTTTTGTCCGCACCACATCGACTCAATTGGCCCTGTCATTTCCAACACAGTCACATTTATTTATCTGCCTTTTTACTTATGCAGACTATTGTTCGCTTTTGTCTTCAACAGTTCCATTCAACACCCCCCAAAACTGCCCCACCCAGCCAACTTCTTCCCAGCTAGAGCCTAATGGACAAAACTGAGATTGATGTCATCTTTAGCAACATAACCCCCCCACGCACACATACACAAAAAAGCCTTCATGTTTTTTTCTTTATTTTATTTCTTTTCTTTTTTTTAATGTGGTTTTCTACCCTGACTTTTGGCCTTTGTTTTTTTTTCTTCATCTTCGTTGTTGTCGTCAGCCATCATTTTTTTTCTTGACTCATAAACTTTTCAAAATATCATACATGACACTTTATCTTTTTATATTTGCTTTATAGCATCTTGAAAAACAGATTTTGTTTTTCTAATGAAGACCCCAAACAATTTTCTTAATGATCCACCGTTTGGTAGTCTGTTTGATTTTTTTCTTTAAGAACCGAATTCTTGTGAAGCATTCTTGCTCGTTATCAGCTTGATGCACCCCCTTGCGCTATAACATTGATAAGAAACAAATCAAGCAAGTGATAGAACTATGCACAGGGAAATTGAGATTCATGCCTTTCGCAATATCACCACTAAAATAAATGCAGTTTGAAATCCTATTCTTCTATTCTGTTATTCGTAGTTACATCAACTGAAACATTCAAAGCCTCACGCTGCAAGAACAGTTTAAAAACTTTCAGAACAAACGAAATTTCATTTATTTTATTTCTTTTTTTTTTTCATTTTTCGAAATTGTCCCCGTTTATTTTAAAATTTTAAATTTGGGTTAAAATTCCCTCCAAACAACAAAATTATTTTTCATCTTGGAAGGTCGTCCATCATCGTGCGATCTTAAGGGTACTAGTTTATTGATTTCCATTCTGAATAGTTTCTCAATGCTTTATCTTTGTTTCAACCTACCGTAGAGCAATAGTCAGTAAGCACATCTTGTAGGATAATTTATCAATTTAGTGATTTCCATGCTTACTCATTGCTGTGGCCTTGTACCAAACGAAGTTCACCTTAATAAATGTCTCGTTTTATTTTTTTGTCTGGGCCTAAAACTAACATTTACAATTTGAAATTACAGAAGGCTAAACTAAAAGAAAGATTAAGTTGCATTTTCAGCTCCTTGTTGAAAAAGATCCCAAATTCTGGATCTATTTCGTCAGCCCTTATCAAGAAAACAAAAAAAAAACCCAACTCTTAACCCAAAATTAACCCTAACTCCCTTACCCTGGGAAGGAGACTAATGAAATAAAACTTTGTAATTTTCTTTTTATTTTTAAGCTTCCGTACTTTAAAATTGTGGATGTGCGGCGGTGTCATTGATAACGGCTCAGTATGAGAAATTGGAGAGCCGAGTTCGAATTCCAATCGGATACGTTACATTCACTACTGATGCGCAAATACTCTTTCTTTCCAACATAATAACGAAAAATATATTTTAGTTGAACACAACGCAATGCCAGCAGAATGTCATGATCGCCCACTTCTTGAAAAGACAAGGCATATAAAAGTAGTGTCAATTGGACACATTAAAAAATGCCTTTATGTTTATTTTGTCAATTAATTCTTTTTCAAAATTGGACGTATGACTTTATTGGTGCCAAAAGCGGAATCGGCGCGACGAGTTCAAATTCTGGCCGGGTCTGTTTCCTTCACTTCGCACTATGCCCTTGAAAAAGGCATGAATAGGCAATAATGAAGTAGACTTGTTCATTCGTAAAAAATATGGAAATCTTTTGAAGAAATAATTTTCGTACAGTAGCATTGTCATCACTATATTTATAGTAATTATTGTATTCTTTTACAGTTTTTCTTTCTTTCTTTCTTTCTTTCTTTCTTTCTTTCTTTCTTTCCCGCCAGCAACTATTTAGCCCCCAATTGTCAACCGCATGTTTCGCTGTTGCTTTTGTTTTAAACTTTTACTCTCATCACCCCCACTGCAGTCAATGGGGCATTTGTTAGAATCTAAAATTATGATTTTTATCATTTAAGAAAGGTGTTCTGTTCATAATATCGATACAATGTAAAATTCGAACTAAATCTTTTTATAGAGTTATTGGACTTCGGTGTTTTGCGTGGGAAAACAATTTTTGTTAGAAAAATATTTATGTTAAAGAAACGAATATATACGTTTTTAATTAAAGTATCAAAATGACATAAATTAATAAAAGTATACATCCGTTTATTCTTTAATTAAGATAATTATCATCTCCCAATATTTGTCCATGTGCTTCAGATAAAATCCTCCCCGTAAAAGTTTATAAAAAATGATATCTTATATATTTGATAAGGTTCGCTTTTTAACGAAGACGTTTATTTTCAGAGTGAAACAATGTTTAATCTAATTTTCTGTTTTCAACAGAGAGATAGTATCATAATTTAAAGAGCTCTTAGAACCAAGTGTTCAGTAGCCACGTGGAACTGCAGATTATTTAAGAAATTTAAAACGTAAAAATAAAGAAAACATTTTAAAGCACAAATCTCCACAATATGTTCATACACCGAGATAGATTATTTGTTTGTAAACTGAGATATTTTTCTTCGTAAACTATGATGAATTTATTCGTTAACTAGAATAGATTATTAATTCGTAATCTGATGCATATTATTTTTTCGTAAACTAAGACACATCTATTCGCAAACACAGTATTTGTTCATAAACTGGGACAAGTACTGACAATTTGTTCGTAAACTGAGAAATAGTTGTTCGTAACCTGGGGTACATCATTACTTCTTAAACTAAGGTATATTAGCTTTTTCGTAAATCGAGTCACATTATTTGTTCGTAAATTGGGACAGTAGTGCATAAACTGAAACATATTTTTTCGTAAAGCATGTCACATTATTTGTTCGTAAATTAGGACGCATTGGTACATTAACTGAGGCATATTATTTTCTTTCGCAAACTTTGGTATATTATTTGTTCGTAAATTGATATACATTATTAGTTTGTAAATTGAGACATTATATTTTATTTGTAAAATATGACGTGCCATTTGTAACGTCGAAAGAGACTTTCAGATCCTTGGTATCGAAAATATTTATCGTTTCCGTTGAAGTGTTTTCATCCGGTGACTAAACATTAAAAAACTAACCAACAGGAACATTCCTGGCATAGACTGGCAGTTTGTAGACTCTCAAAGCACACATGAAAACGGTATGCAAAAACAAAGTGAGGAATCAGTAAGGCAGACGATATTTAGATATTTAGATGTTGATTCGGGTCAGCAGTTTTATTGTCAGGAAAAAAAAAAGATTATAGAAAAGCCTTTATCATTTAGACACCAATTGTTACTAATAGTGGAAGAATTCGACGGTATATTTTGGCGGGCTTTCGCTCACAGATAAAAGAGACGGTTGTTTTTAGCTTGAAAAGATTGAGACAAAAGTTCGTAAGAATTTCAATAGTATGTTAAGTCATGCGTTCGTTTCCAATTTATACTTTCAGTTAGACGTACGCCGTATGAAAATATGAAACCATGCGCAATCGTTTAAGAGAAATGAAAATTGCTATCTCCATATTTAAAATGAAAACAATAAGATATTAGTAAAGCTACCTATTGATAAACGTTCAGTTACATAATTCAACGATGCTTTGAATATTGCTGCCACGTCTGCTCTGGGGTTCCTGCTATAGTTATTTTCCAAGCGTAGCTTCGATGTGGCACAAGGCCGAAACGAGGGGGAATTTAGTGAGGATCGAACTCACTTTTTCAGTTGTAACTGATCTAGCGAGTCAAGCTTCCTAACCATTACACCACGCCGAGGCTCCTGCTAGACATTTAGAGATTCTTGATAAAATCCAGAGAATCTATAATGTTATTGCTTCTGACCTGCCATCTCGGCTTCAGTCATTTTTCCGTAGCCGTTACGTAGTTTCCCTATGCCTTTTTCTATAAATACTTTCATGGTAATTGTTCTGAAGAACTTTCCTCTTTGATACTTAGACTCCATGAATTTAAACGCAGTACCAGATTGGCAGCTACGTCTCATCAATTCACAGTTGAATTGGCTAGATGAGACCGTAAGTTCTATACAAACAGTTTTTATTTCTCTCGCACTTATCGCTTGTGGATCTCTCTTCCGGTTCCATGTTTTCCAGCCAACTTTGATCTTCAAAAATTTAAATGCAATGTCAATCGTAATCTTCTGTCTTCTTTGATTCATCTTCTTCTATTGTTCTCGCTCCTTAATAACGTTCCTCTTTTTTCTCATTCTTTCATGATAGAAAAAGCATTTATTGTGCACTATATATATATATATATATATATATATATATATATATATATATATATATATATATATATATATATATATATATACTGTGCCTGAAGACCCGTTTAGGTGAAACCTTGATAGGTTATTCCTGGCTCTTTAGGATTTATATATATATATATATATATATATATATGTGTGTGTGTGTGTGTGTGTGTGTGTGTGTGTGTGTGTAATTTCATCCCAAGCAAGACGATAAAGCTACTAAGACGCAAGAGGATGCTGAGTTTAAAGAGAAACATTATCAAAGAGAGAGAAAAGTAACTGAACAGGAAGTAAGAAAACAAAAGATAACGATTGACATTGCATTTAAATGTTGAATGGAAAGTAGAATGACGGAAGAGAATTCCACTTGCAAGAAGTGCGAGAGAAGAACTGCCAGCAAAGATTTCTCGCTGGAAAATGATGAGATCTAATTGCCAATCTAGTATTGCGCTTAAAATCGAGATACCAAAAGGAAAGTTCATTAGAACAGGTACCATAAATAAATCATGCAAAAGTCACAGGGAAAGCTATATTAAGCCGGTTGGAAAATAACTGAAGCGAATATGTCAGGTTAGGAGTGATGAAATTGCCGATCCATTGGATTTTATCAAAAATGCCTAAATACACAACAGAAGCACCACATATACATGAACACACATATATATTATATTACCCCCTTCCTCACTATTAATCATTTAATAAAAATAAATTTAAAATCATTCCTATCTCTCCCTTCCCTCTCTAATTTTCACCATGTCAGTCACACTCACTCTCACTACTCTCTATATGACCTTACTTCACCTTAATACTACCTCTCAAAAGTGTAAAAAATATATGTAAATTTAAATTCATTTTTTCACCCTTGGACATGTAGTCTGATGAGCCAGGGAAAAAGAAATTCCCTGGGGAAATAAATTATAACGAACATGTTGGGTGTTTTTCATTAAATTATATATATATATATATATATATATATATATATATATATATATATATATATATATCAGGTCATCCCATAAGTTCTGTCCGAATTTTAACTTTTTGTTAAAATGAACGAAATTTAAAAGAGTATTTTATAATGTCTAATGGAGATGAACATTATTTTTTATGTTTAGAGGCATTTAAACTGATCAAATTTTATTTCAGAGAACAATAAAATTAAATTTTGTTTGATTTAAACCCTGCTAAAATGGAAGTACCCAAGAATCATTTGAGGCACATAATGCTTTATGAGTTCAAGAAAGGAAACTCAGCAGCCGAACTGGTTAGAAACATTCACTCAGTTTATGGAGAGGAATGTGTGAATGAAAGAACTTGCAGAAGATGGTTTGCAAAATTCAGAGGTGGAGATTTCACCCTTGAAGATGAAGATCGAACCGGACGTCCAGTTGAGTTTGATGAAAAGCTTCTTGAAGCAGCCCTTGAAGAAAATCCTCCTTTATCAGTTGAGGAATTGGCAGTGGTTCTCAGTTCAAACCATACAACTGTTCATCGTCATCTTCAACAACTTGGAAAAGTTCCTAAACTTGGAAAATGGGTGTCACATGAATTGTCTGAAAACAATCTCAAATCCCGAGATGACATCTGCTCTTCTCTCCATTCTCACCAACTTGTTTCACCTTTTTTGGATAGACTTGTGACTGGCGACGAAAAATGGATCTTTTATCGAAATGTTAAGCATCGTAGACAGTGGCTTGGTAAAGAGAAAGGACCTCAGGCACAGTCGAGAAGGGAACTTCATGGGCAAAAGGTCCTTCTTTCAATCTGGTGGGATCGCCAAGGAATAATCCACTTTGAATTCGTACCACCTAATGCAACAATTAATGCTCAAATATATTGTCAGCAATTAAAGCGTTTGAACCAAGCTTTGAAGAAAAAAAGACCTGCTCTAGTGAATCGAAAAGAGGTGATGTTTCATCAGGACAATGCGCGACCACACACAGCAAGAATCACGTCACAAAAGATCGAAGAACTTGGCTGGGAGAAAATTCCTCATCCACCTTATTCTCCCGATCTTGCTCCTTCTGACTACCATTTGTTTCGTAGCTTACAGAATCATTTGGAAGAAACAGCTTTTGTAACACAGGAAGAGGTTAAAACTGACATTTGTGAGTTCTACGAATCAAAGCCAAAAGAATTTTACAGTAATGGAATTAGTAAGCTTGTTAATAGATGGAAGGAAGTCATAGATAATCAGGGAAAATACATTGTTGATTGAACCTGTAATTAAATGTTAAATTTGGTCACTTGTTTTTTTTATTCAAAATTCGGACAGAACTTATGGGATGACCTGATTTATATATATATATATATATATATATATATATATATATATATATATATATATATAGGAGAGTGAAAACCCTATACCTTCTCCTCCTTACGTTTTACACTGGCATGAAGTGGACCGACTATTTCGACTAAAGTAAAGAAAGTTGGTTCGCTGTGTCGTTTCAAAAAGGTTTTTCTCGTTAGAATCCATTTACAATTCGTCTGTGCATTCAATAGTTTTACCATATCTGGTCTTGTGCTCCTGCTTGAGAAAATCCAAAGAAGGATCTATAATGTAATCTATCCTGACTTCAGTCACTTTCTCACCGACATGATGTGGCTTCCCTCAGTCTTTTCTAG